ATTCTGGAGAACAATTAGAAGATTGCTAAAAGTACGAATGGGATTAAAACACCGATCTGTGCCTTCTGTGTGAACTACACGAGATATCCTTTCACGGCGAGGATCACAAAACGTATGAGCTCTATCCTGCATGACAAAACGATTTTACGTGAAAAATATCGCGTATCTTGTGTCGTTCGGTTACCAATTCAACCTCGCTTATCTGAAGCACGGTCGGCTGGCTGTTATTGCTGGAAAGTTGAGGGTTCCGCCATAATACAATATCAATCTTCCATCTACATTTTTATTACCTTGTTGTAATGAGACTTCCTGTGTATTCGCTGCGAAACCACCGGTACAGAATTCTATCAAACTTGCGTTAGAATATTAAAGTGTTCTCAGTGCATGTGCAATAAAAATCGAATGCGATAAATTTCAAGAACAACTTTCTTCTTTCGGATATCTGATCATACTTGCAAAATTAGTTGATAAAAAATGACACTTATAAATATACTACATATTTATATATTTACTGTAAAACTTGCATTAAGATATATTTGTTACAATATAATTACATTATGATATACTTATTATAATATAGATTATATATCTAGTCCATACTTAGACTATACACAATTGATTCAACTTTCTGATCTTTTCATCATCAGATCAATTCGGCGCGTAGTAATTCGACACGTGCAAATTCGGCGCGTGACAATTCGGCACGTGGTAATTCGACGCATGGTAACTTCACCCGTAAAATTCCATAGCGAGGTAATTCGATCCGTAGAATTCCAGCGCGTGGTAATTCGATCAGTGGAGTTCCAGCGCGTGGTAATTCGATGCGTGGAGTTCCAGCGCGTGGTATTCCAGCACGTGGTAATTTGATCCGTAGAATTCCAGCGCGCGATAATTCGATCCGTAGAGTTCCAGCGCGTGGTAATTCGATACATGGTAATTCAACCCGTAGAATTCCAGCACGTGGTAATTTGATCCGTAGAATTCCAGCGCGCGATAATTCGATCCGTAGAGTTCCAAATTCGATACATGGTAATTCAACCCGTAGAATTCCAGCACGTGGTAATTTGATCCGTAGAATTCCAGCGCGCGATAATTCGATCCGTAGAGTTCCAGCGTGTGGTAATTCGATGCGTAGTAATTTGATCCGTAGAATTTCAACGCGTGGTAATTCGATTCGTAGAGTTCCAGCGCGTGGTAATTCGATGCGTGGAGTTCCAGCGCGTGGTATTCCAGCACGTGGTAATTTGATCCGTAGAATTCCAGCGCGCGATAATTCGATCCGTAGAGTTCCAGCGTGTGGTAATTCGATGCGTAGTAATTTGATCCGTAGAATTTCAACGCGTGGTAATTCGATTCGTAGAGTTCCAGCGCGTTGTAATTCGATACGTGGTAATTCGATCCGTAGAGTTCCAGCGCGTGGTAAATCGATGCGTGCAATTACCACACAAGATCTAACGAAAACGTTCCGATGAAGTACCTCAAAGCAAACCCTTCGTGTCCTTGAACTTAACCTACACCAAGGTCATAAAACTTCAAGACTTGATCGAGTGTCAGCATCGTGACCAAAATGATCCAGCTCGTTGTCTCGTTCCGGGTTAATCGTTAATCCGACCCCGGTATCTCACGCTCCATCGTTCGAAACTCATCACGACGTGTTGCGTACGTGTGCCGTTATGAAAACGCGTGGCTCGTTGGCTGACATGAATACATTAGCAACAGAAGGGCACGTAGAAACGTTAACTGCATCCTTGCTGCCTTGACATGGGTCAAGAACAAACTACTCCATGCAAATTGAATCAACCTCGCATAATAGTGCCTTCCGAAACACCGACTCATTCAAAATCCATCTTCAAACATTTTTCAACTCTAATTCTGAATAATATTTTCAATATTCAGTTGTTCATTGTTAATAGATGTTCAATGTCAATATTTAATTATTCGTAGTTAATGAATAGTTGTTCAGCAGTTGTTCAATGCAAGTCAGATGTTCATTAATCAATATTCATTAATCAATTGTTCAATGCCATTCGGATGTTTATTGTCAACATTCAGTTAGTTTTCTATACAGTAAGATGTTTGTAGAATGTCCAACAAGTGTGGTTTTTGTATTAAAAGAAAATTCAGAAAGGAGATTCTGTGCAGGTTGGAACATAACCTAACTTTTTATTTGTCAGTGGCTCCCCCAAACTGTAAAACTTTATTTACAAAATGGCCGTCTTATACTTTGATTAGAAATCTCGTCCTAATTGCACATGTGGGTTTCTAACCGTATTTCTGTGCACGTTAAGACAGTATTTTCTTCGAAAGCGTAGTAACGGAAATTCGAGACGACGCAAGAACGCGGTACAGTAATTTAATTTATCGGCGATCGTTGGCAGTGTCGCTACCGTTCATTTCCATTTGGCGAAATGACTTGACGGAGACAAGATAGGCTGGCGAGTTTCCCGTACACGGCTACGGAAACCCGTTAATTCGCGTAACAGAAGGACGCAACGAAAATTAGAATCGTAACGATTTTATTGCACCGTTGCGACGGCCAACGGGTTTCCCGGTGCGTTTTAACAGTTTGCCTTTTAAATTCACCCGTTTAAACGAGAGTTGTTTTTACTTTTTTCCCCGGCCACGGGTAACGAGCAGGTATAAAAATTTATCCACGATACGAATTTAATGACCCTGGCTCGCGGTGTACCGTTGAAAATTGAATGCAACTGATACTACGGAACCCGATCCATTCGATAACTTCGCCTCCGTGTTTACCGTAACAATGCATTCCACGGAAAAAATGCCGAAGAACATCGATTTCCTGTTTCGGAATAATACTGCAACAGTTGTACTGGGTTTAATGAATTTTTATTCAAAAAATTCTTTAATATTCAATACTTAAATTTTTGGTATTTATTACGGTTGTTCCTTTCGTCAAGTTTAATCGTATCCATTCTGTCCTTTAATTTGGGGAATGTTGCAATATTGTTTAGCTCTTGGGAGTATAACATAGAGTCGCGTTTGTAATATACACCACAGTTCAAATATAAAAAAAAAAATAAAAGCATATTTTTCCCACAGCTGCGTTTCGGAAACGAATAACCACGCATTGAATTACCATGCGCTGGAACTCTACGGATCGAATTACCACGCGCTGGAACGCTACGGATCGAATTACCACGTGCTGGAATTCTACGGATCGAATCACCAAGTATCGAATTACCATGCGCTGGAACTCCACGAATCGAATTACCACGCGCTGGAATTCTACGGGTCGAATTACCATGTATCGAATTACCACGCGCTGGAACTCCACGGATCGAATTACCACGCGCTGGAATTCTACGGATTGAATTACCACGTATGGAATTACCATGCGCTGGAACTCCACGAATCGAATTACCACGCGCTGGAATTCTACGGATCGAATTTCCACGCATCGAATTACCACGCATCGAATTACTACGCGCCGAATTTCCATGCGTCAAATTTTCACGCGTCGAATTACCACGCGTCGAATTATTACGCGCCGAATTACCACGCGCCGAATTTCCATGCGTCAAATTACCACGCGCTGGAATTCTACGGATCAAATTACCACGCATCGAATTACCACGCGCTGGATCTCTACGGATCGAATTACCACGCGCTGGAATTCTATGGATCGAATTTTCACGCGTCGAATTACCACGCGCCGAATTTCCACGCGTTGAATTACCACATGTCAAATTGCCACCTACCGAATTACCACGCGCCAGATTGCCACGCATGGTAGTGTTGCACCACTCAGATTGACGCAACTGTAAAAAAAGTCATGGGTTAAGAGGTTAAGGGAAATTGGAAGATTTTCTTTTGGGAAGGAAATCTATTTGAACCGACCAACAATTAAGGGATGTCAGTATCTATTTCCCCAAGGCTCTGAAGCCTTTGAGCCGGTCGATAATTCACTCGAATAGATCGCTGGTTCACACTGAATTTCATCTTTGTCCGTATCTCGGGCACGAGTTGATCCTCTCGAAACCTCAAGCACGTTCCAATGATCGAGTTTCATAACAATACTGCCAGATAATGCCGGTCGAAAGTTACAACGACGTGTCGACGATATAAAGGTACAAATAACTCAGGACCCTTCGATTTGTGACAGATATTTTGATAACAATACATGTTAGATATAAACATAGTTATACATATCTTAATACTAATTATTATTACTTATTAAATTCTTAACTACATGTTACTACTACACATATTATGATGCTTATACATATTAATTCCAATATTTCCTCTGTGAACCTAATTAAAATTATAAACAGGAATACTTCCGTTTCAAGTATGAATGCTAATTATTTCGTGAGGGGATTTCACGTAATTAATCAGTGAAAAGGATCATTTCGAATGGCCAATGTAATTTTATTCCGTTCTCTAATGAGCAACTAAAAATTACAAATTACAGTATCTCGATCAAAGAACCGTATACCTAGAAAGCGCATCAAAACCTCGTTTATCGTAATTATTGCATATATTCAACAAATGCTTTGATACAATTTTCTCTGAAACAGCTACCTTTGCAATTTACGACAGTATAACGTTTTTAGACTGCGATCAATATTTCTGTAGAAGTACAAACATTTCGATCGTAATTAATTTAATTTCTACCGAATGTTCAAATTCGTGCAATCTACTCGGCAGCATTTTTCGTCGTGACGTTTAGCGAGATCCTCTTTAATGCTTTAAGTTAACCTGTGGCAAAGTCTCGTTAGAAAACTCGCAAGCTCTTGGTGCAGTATGGATTCCCTCGCAGATTGCTGGATCTTCCTTTGCTAAATCCTGCGGGAAAGAAACGCAGAGGATCGCTAATTTCTCTGGGGATGAGCTTTTTTCTCGTTCTTCCTCGTAAGCAAAAGAGAAAATACGAGGCAATTTGTTAATCCACGTTATTGAATTGTTCCGTCATATTTATTGCCGCGAAATAAGAGAAGATTACAATATGTGTGCGTATTTAACAATGAAATAACGTGCTAGTATCCGCGATATCGATTGTCGGGCGATTTAGGCTTCACGTTAGAATACAATTCGCCCCAATAAATCGACTGTATGGGCGACTGCCAATGCTTGACTTGTTTTTTGTTACTGTCGGACGAAGTAGGCCCCTTCACAAGCTCCAGCACGAAAAGCCCGATGAAGTAGACAAACTCCACGATCGCAATCAGACTAAAACCGACGAAAATGCCCCAAATACCGCTTGCATCCCCTGCCAACAGAAATTTCATTTTAATGCCAAAACTCGGGCTATTAATCATTTCTCTATTGCTTAAATCACGGACTGTAACCTTATAAATTACCTCTACTCTGAAAAGGCTAACGATCGAAAACTCTTCAAATTGAAAGTGGATTCTGGTAAAAACCCGATGTACTTGAATTTCCTTTACAAAAGAGAAACATCAAAATTCGAAAAAAATCAGAAACTAAAATATATTTGACAAATGTTATAAAATTTCACGTAAGTAGAAACAAGAAATAAAGTAATCTGTCGAATATGACTGGAACATTTTGTAACTCGGAGCTCAAACGTAGAAATGAGGGTCAGTACCAAGTTAGATTTCAGTTCGGTAAATTCCCCTGGAAGTTTTAACACGATTCAATCTATTCGAACCCGAACGAAATGACCGGTGAATGCGGCTCGATTTAGAAGAGCACGGTGAAAATCTGACGGGATAAACTGGAAGAAACGGGGGGTGGATTATGAAACGCAGAAGGATCTCGTTGTGTAACGAAGGATTCGTGGCATGAACTTTCTTCATCGCTGAGTAATCTGTTGCCTCGGGGCTGTCGGAATAAAGGAACATCTCGATCCATTGTGTTAGGTACGTGCACATATACTCTTGGCACGAGTTACAAGCTCTGTAATGCACCCTGAATAAAGGACTTACATTTTTCGCGGGGTAAATCCACTTTCGTCTTGCAACTTCGCGATACACGACCGCTTCTACAACTTTCTACCGGCGTAATATGAATAATATCTTTACGTGCTTAACAGCATTTTGCATGCATTAATCTAATGGAAACTGCGCTGAATGTAAATAGGGGATTAAGCTGTTCTTCGCTCTGCTGAAAGCTAATTAATTGTAAAATGCATTCTCTCTGCTCGCTGATTCTTCGTTGTCTTCATTGAAATCACGGGTTTCCTTTTTTGAGACATTTCTAGAACCTGGAGACGTAGAAACCTTCAGGTACGTCTAAATATAAAGAGAAGTACAAAATGTAGCTTCGGAACAACAAAGTCTGAGGTACAGGACTTTGAAGACATATGTGGAGGACATATGTGTACATATGCTACACATGTGAAGAGTACAAGCATCTCTGTTTATAAAAATTTAAAAATGCAAACATCAGGTGGTCCACATTTTTGCATCTAGAGATCCACAAAGTAAGAATGAAAGAATTTAAAGTTTTCTATGTGTCGCAATAATTTTGATGAGTAGAGTAAAACGTGTCATATGTGACGCACGGTAGAGTTCACGTATGACAAACCAGACTCATATTTTCACCACAACTGAACTTTACGTTCAATTCTAATTATAGTCTGTATAATGAAGGATCACTGAAGGCAAAATATGCATAACATTTCAACTTTTGTTGCCTTAAGATGTTACGCCTATTTCAGCAATTATTAGCTGGCTGTGAATGATGCAGCTGTCCAGTTAGGATCGTAGGTTAGGATCTAGAACAAGCTGCAATTTTAAAATATATAGAGGTGACTCTTAATTTTAAGATATGTAGATGTAACTCTTAATTTTGGGATATGTAGATGTATCTCTTAATTTTAAGATATGTAGATGTAAGTCTTAATTTTAAGATATGTAGATGTAACTCTTAATTTTAAGATATGTAGGTGTAACTCTTAATTTTAACATATGTGGAAGTAACTCTTAATTGTAACATATGTAGATGTAACTCTTAATTTTAACATATGTATATGTAACTCTTAATTTTAACATATGTAGATGTAATTCTTAATTTTAACATATGTATATGTAACTCTTAATTGTAACATATGTAGATGTAGCTCTTAATTTTAAGATATGTAGATGTAACTCTTAATTTTAACATATGTAGATGTAGCTCTTAATTTTAACATATGTATATGTAGCTCTTAATTTTAACGTATGTAGATGTAATTCTTAATTTTAACATATGTATATGTAACTCTTAATTTTAACATATGTAAATGTAACTCTTTTTTCTTTAAGAAATGTAACAGATATCTTAGTTCATGGCAAAAAATAATAATTCTTAACCAAGACGATCTTACTAGAAATAGATGGTAATTTTGACGTGGTGAAACACCAACTAATGGTTATTATAACGTTCCATGCACAGTAATTTCCAGCATGATAATCAATATATCGCCACAAAACTTCTTGTCAGTTAATTTTACTCACCCAACAGCTCGTACCATCGATAAATCACGTCTTGTCTCAACCTCATGGTGCCGAAGCTATTAAAATATATCGTCAGCATACCTTGGTCCTCGATCTTGACACCCTTCCTTCGAATTTCGAAACATGATCAGAAGATTGATAAAACCTATATTAAATATCCTGTAAGCGTGTACCCACAGTAATTTGGCAGATTGTCGATTAGACTCCACCAGATCTGACTCGGTCATTCTTGCGTTGTAGCTGATGTCGTTGCACTCTGGGTAACACGTGTAGCAGTGCATGATTGTCTCGTTGTCGTAGTTCGCATCTTGGTATACGTTCTCGTGTGGTACCACGGAGAACCATTTGGCTAGAATTTTGTGATCACGAAATTTAAGAATTTTGTCTGAACCAAAGAACTGTAGGAACAATAATTCGATAGCTAATTATTATGTAAATTGGATGATTGCTGAACTCACATTTGTGCTCTGTCAAACAGGGTATGTCTTCTATGTTGCACACCCTTCGACCTTCTGAAAATTCAAAAATATAAATAAGAATATAATACAGAATAATATTCATACAGTAAAAGAATTTTATAAAATTCTTTTTAACTCCTTAAAATAATCCTCAAAAAAAAAAAATGTATCTATCTACATCTAACAAAGAAATATATTCCTGCAATTTCTTGGGTTTAATTTCGTACGATCCACTTTAACGGTTCAAGTCCCATCGGGAGCTTCCGAAAGCATGCTATTTAGCCAGATCTTGTAGCATAGAATCTCGGGAGAGTAAGGCTGCAGAATCGTTAATGCCTTCTGTTAGTCTATGTACTGTAAGTGGTTCTGTCGTCCTGCGAAAGTGAAAGCAGAGAGCAGAAGACACATATTGTGGACGTCTTCTTTGATGTATTTAAGTGGTTGCGTTTGTAAACGTTGACTGAAGTACAGGACAATGTTTGCTTTTGAAGTATTGCAGAACATTGACCTGGAACTGTATAGATAGGATTACCACGCGCTGGAACTCTATGAATTTAATTACCACGCACCGAATTACCACGCGTTGGAACTCCACGGATCGAATTACCACGCGCTGGAACTCCACGGATCGAATTACCACGCGCTGGAATTCTATGGATCGAATTACCACGCGCTGGAACTCTACGGATCGAATTACCACGCGCTGAAATTCTATGGATCGAATTACCACGCGCTGGAACTCCACGAATCGAATTATCACGTGCTGAAACTCTACGGATCCAATTACCACGCGCTCGAATTCTATGGATCGAATTACCATGCGCTGGAACTCCACGGATCGAATTACCACGCGCTGAAACTCTACGGATCGAATTACCACGCTCTGGAATTCTGTGGATCGAATTACCACGCATCGAATTACCACGCACCAAATATCCAAGCGTCGAATTACCACGCGCCGAATATCCAAGCGTCAAATTACTATGCGTCGAATTTCCGACGCGTTGAATTTTCTACGCATCGAATTTCTACGCGCTGAATTCCCACGCGTTGAATTCCTACGCGCCAAATCCTTACGCACTAAATTTTTACGCGTCAAATTCCTCACGCGTTGAATTTTCCCAAGCGTCCAACTTCTCAAACACTCTAAACATTTCCTAACTTTCCAAATTCCCAACTCTTCAAATCCCCAAATTCCCAACTGCTCAAATCCCCAAACCTCAAATCCCAAATCCCAAAACTCGTAAATCTTCCAGTTGCCCCGAAGAAATGCAAAGTATCGGAATAATAAAACAATTTGCATTCACATATCAGCTACAATCGCATTGTCAGCAACTTATTGCGATAATAGGTGTATTAACATATCTAACCTCTATTAGGCAAGTAGAAAGGTATGCACTTGCAGATTTTCCACACGTCATCGATCCTGCAATCAACGATACAGTCACTGTAGGTGTAGAAAGGCCGTAAGAAGGTCATTTCATCCTCGAACACGCAATCTCGTTTGTCGAGCGGATACGATATAATACTCCTGGTGCTGTAAAACATGATCGCCTCTAGTTCCACGCTCCTGTGCGTTCGCGGAGACACGAGGACGTCGATGACACCGCCGCTGATCATGTCCGGATAATCGTACGGGCTGAAGATCGTCACCTGGCGAAGTGTTCGTCCTTTGAAACCCTCTCGCGAAAATGAAATTTCAATATTCATGAATAACGACGAGCTTGACGCGTTGAATGACCACCGCCGCGTTAAATATTCCCAACCCCCGGCCGTATTTACACACGCTCGACCCGACTACGGTAAATCTCGACTGTTCTCCCGAGGAAAAACTGCAATTTGCATAATGCACCGTCGTTTGTCTCGTATGATAATCGTAGTGAGCAACCAGCGAGAACGCGACCCTGCGATTAAACTGTCCGATTTTACATTCGGTTAGATTACTTCCGAGCCACGATGACGAGTTTTAGTGTCAGAAAACTGTCCGCCATATTGCTTTTTCTGTTACCGGCCATAGACATGAAAAGTTACGGACAATTTGTCTTGCAGGTTTTATGTTTAATTTTGATTGGAGTAAAACAGGGTTTATGGATATGAATTTTGTCAAGCAGACATTTCATGAAATTTTTGTATGATTATTGTATTAAAGAATGAGAGATGTGTTTATGTGTATAACATATGTACACTTGCATGTGATCATGTGTATACATGTGTACATATGTGTGCAATACAATTCTTTTATACAAAAATTAAGCTTTCATGTAACAAGTATAACATGTATAAGTATTTTGAAAATATATTGTGCAAGTATATTGCACAAATATAATATGTTTGATATAATATAGAGGGTGTCTCACAATTAATGTAAGAGCTGAAAAGGGGTGGTGTTTAAGTGTACAATTTAATTTTCTTGCTAATACTGAAACTCAATAAAATTGAATGCACCAGAATTATTTCAGTAATTCATTGACTATACTTTGATCCCAAACCTCCCTTAAAACTCTCCACCCTTAAGAGTCTATACAGTACATTGCACCCAGTGGTATAATGATTAATATAAATTCTGCTTACCTTCCACCCAGTGGTTGGTAAAATGGAGTAAAAATAGTCATCGGGAAACGATTCCATCAGCACCGACAGTCCACCTTCCTCGGTCAAATTTTCCACCTTGATGGGGTCAGTTCTATGATCGACCTCGGTGTTTCTATCGAAGCAAAACACACAGGATGTACAAGTGCAACGCGAAAAAGAGATCGAACTGAAGAACCGTGAACAGCGTGCACGTGATGCTGTCATTATCCACGAAATAATTTGCAGCGAGCAAAACCGAGGGAAATGGAACGGCTACGAAACACGAAACGGTGAAATTTCGCATGCACGCGACCGTATGAACCTGGTGAAAAATGAATTTCGACCGACAGCTCGCAAGGTGTCGCGAGACGAGCCGAATAAATTATGCATTCCAGTTACGAAGGGAGAGGGAAACCTCGAAACTTACAGGAGCGTATCATCCCCTTTAGTAGCGTAATTGAAGATGCAACAGAATCCGTCTTGAGTCTTGCGGAACGCGAATATGTCTGAGCAGTTTCTCTCTTGACCGTTGAAACGACACCTCGATAAAATTGAGGAGCATTGCGGGGTCAGCTGAAATTGTACCATGCAAATTTTAGGTTGAAGTTACAGTGTATGTTTGCCAATTGGTGAATTTTTAACATGACTTGATTTTTAAATATTAGACTCTCAAGTTCCTAAATGCTTTTTAAGATAGCAAATTTGTAAAAGCAATTGCATTTGCTGATTTCCTAAGTAATGAGATTTCTAATAGCTCCAATTTTTAAATTCTTAATTTTTTGAATTTTCTAATTTCTACCTCCTTGTTTTCATCACTCTCCAACTTCTTAAGTCCCCAACTTCTTAAATCCCGAACTTCCTAAATCCCTAATGTCCTCAATTCCAAAGTTGCTAACTCCTCTACTTTCTAACTCCCAACTTCCTAATTTCCAAAGTTCCTAAATCCCAACTTCTTAAGTCCCACCTTCCTAAATTCCTACTTCCTAAATCCCAACTTCCTAAATTCCGAAGTCTCTACATCTCAAATGCCTAAATCCCAACTACCTCAATCCCAACTTCTTAAATCCCAACTTCCTAAATCCCAACTTCTTAAACTCCACCTTCCTAAATTCCTACTTCCTAAATCCCAACTGCTTAAATCGCAACTTCCTAAACTCCAAAATCCCTAAATCCCAACTGCTTAAATCCCAACTTCCTAAACTCCAAAGTCCCTAAATCCCAGCTAGCTAAATCTCAACTTCCTAAATCCCAACTTCTTAAATTCCCACCTCCTAAATCCCAACTCCCTAAATTCCCACCTCCTAAATCCCAACTCCCTAAATTCCCAACTATCTGTAAACCCAAATTCTTGGATCCTCGGATTCCTAAATCCCAAAATTCCAAAAACTCCAAAATACCAAAAATTCAAAAATTCCAAACATTCCAAAAAATTCAAAAAACATCAGGAACTCTTACTAGGAATGAAATGATATGAAAACCGAATTACTCTGTTCAGGAAGCAAGAACTTACCCGTTTCATTACGTTCGTAATGTCATAATAGCCATCGTAAAAATGCGAGAGTAGCTGATCGATTCGAAGTGGCTGAGATTGCGTTATAAATTCGGAATCGTAAAGTCCGCCCAATTGCAGAATCATGTTCAGAATCTCTTCGGAAGATAGTCGAGAAATATTCGAGTTGTATCTACAAAAAACAAACAATATTCATATCAAACTCGAAAAAAATTCATGTATTAATTGAAATTTGAAAAATATTGAACGCACTCGGCGAATTAACATGGAAATGAAAAATTTATACGCGAACCGGGTAATTGATAAAACTGGATCGATATTGCAAAATGTCTGTATTAAAAATTGCGTTAAAAATTCCATTCTATGAGAACTGAAACTGCAGTTCGGGAAAATTAGTTGAAAACTCGCGTTGAATAAAATCGCAGAGGAGAGGTTAAATATGCATCCCCGTTACTACATGAAAGAATGGTTCAAATTTCGATGTTAAATGATTTTAATTATTCAATGTGGGTAAATTTTGTTCCAGCGAATTAATTGCGAGCCTCACTCATATATTTACAACAATTTTTTAAACGAATCTCGCTAACGAGATTGAAACTAATGATGCAGTATTAACGAATATAATGAATTTCATGCATTTAATTATGCTATTTTTATTGCGGTTCTCGTGTATAGAATTTAATATAAATGCTCACATTTCGTTCGCCATTTTCACTGCGGCTCGACGGCTTATTCTATTGATAGAACAGATGGAGACACCTGTAAATGGACGTTACAGTTTGTAATCTTTAGTGCTATACAAATAAACGTTCGGAACACAGTTTACTCGAGAATTCTGCGAATCATTTCTCAGGTATTTCATCAAATTTCTATTGTACTCCCTTTATCGAATGGGAATCACGAGCTAAATTCCCACGCGCTGAATTAATACGCGTTGAATTTCCCACGCGTTGAATTCCCTACGCGTTGAATTCCCAACGCTTGGAATTTTTTACGCGTTGAATTCCCTATGCTTGGAATTTTCTACGCGTTGAATTCCCTACGCTTGGAATTTTCTACGCGTCGAATTTCTACGCACTGAATTCTAACGCGTTAAATTTCCACGCGCTGAATCCCTCACGCGTTGAATTCCCTACGCGTTGAATTTCTACGCGTCGAATCCCTCACGCGTTGAATTTTCCACGCGTTGAATTCCCTACGCATTAAATTTCCTACGCGTAGAATTCCCTACGCGTTGAATTCCCCACGCGTGGAATTGCTTACGCGTTGAACTCTCGATGCGTTGAATTCGCCACGCGTGGAATTTCCACGCGCTGAATCCCTCACGCGTTGAATTCCCTACGCGTTGAATTTCTACGCGTCGAATCCCTCACGCGTTGAATTTTCCACGCGTTGAATTCCCTACGCATTAAATTTCCTACGCGTAGAATTCCCTACGCGTTGAATTCCCCACGCGTGGAATTGCTTACGCGTTGAACTCTCGATGTATTGAATTCCCCACGCGTGGAATTCCATACGCTTGGAATTTTCTACGCGTTGAATTTCTACGCACTGAATTCCCACGCGTTAAATTCCTACGCGCCAAATCCCTGCGCTCTAAATTCCTATGCGCTGAATTCCTACGCATTGAGTTTCCCACGCGTTGAATTTTCTACGCATTGAATTTCACCCATTCCATTGTACATCCTTTGCACCCAATAACGTTCCAGCAATTTTTCAGTTTAAATTACTCAAAGGACACTTCCAAGAATGACAGCGGTATTAACAATCAAACTCAGTTACCTGGAAAATTTAATTTGTACGTCGGAAAAAATTCCGTTTCCACGCTGGTCATCACAGGATTTTTCATGAATTCCACGTAACTGTAATAAACCGTGTAAACCATAGTGGGCACCATGAACGCGTACAGCAGAAACCAAACCGTTCTGCAAAGCATGTTCAGAGTACATAATTAATACGCACGAATTTCAATTAATTCCTGTGAAACGTTGAACGTCCATCGATATAACGTGAAAGTTTCATTAAAATTTGTCGCGTTTCACCGTTAGAAAGAACGTCTAAATTACCTGTCGAACCACGTCGTACTGGATTCCGTGAAATATTTGAAACCCGCCAGCTTCGTGTACTTACAGTATAGCTTGCCGTATTTTATCAACGCTCGAACGAAACGCGATCTTGTTTCGCGCGTTTCACGCTTTAAAACATCTTTCCTATCGTAGATTCGCATTTCATGGAACGAAATTTCGACCCACCTGCAATTTTTCAACGTTACGTTGCTTAATTATGCGTTTAATTAAACTTCAACCATTTTTTCAAATTTGCGGTCGGATATTGCGGTGGACTTTTGATATATGGCATTTTTATATGGCATTTTATATATTCGTAATAGCAGCGACTTTTCTTTATTATCGTGCGACAAATTTTTTTTATGCAGTAGATTTGTATTTTTCAGATTTATGGAAGTTAAAATAGAAGTTAAAGAAGTTAGATTTTTATGCATTGGTCTACTGTGCGTTGGATTTCTATGGGTAAGATTTTTACGCGCCAAATCCCTGCGCGCTAAATTCCCACGCGCTGAATTCCTGAGCGATGAATTTCCCACGCATTTAATTTTCTACGCGTTAAATTCTCCGCACTTGGAATTTTCTACGCGTTGAATTCCCACGCGTTAAATTTCTATGCGCCAAATCCCTACGCACTAACTTTCCCACGCGCTGAATTCCCACGCGTTGAATTCCCTACGCGTTGAATTTCCCAGGCGTGGAATTCTCTACGCATTGAATTCCCTACGCGTTGAATTTCCCACGTGTGGAATTCTCTACGCATTGAATTCCCTATGCGTTGAATTTCCCACGCGTGGAATTCTCAACGCATTAAATTACCTACGCATTGAATTTTCCACGCGTGGAATTCTCAACGCATTGAATTCCCTACGCGTTGAATTTCTCACGCGTGGAAATCTCTACGCATTGAATTCCCTATGCGTTGAATTTCCGACGCGTGGAATTTTCTACGCATTGAATTCCCAGCGCGTTGAATTCCCCACGCGTGGAATTCTCAATGCATTAAATTCCCTACGCGTTGAATTTCCCACGCGTGGAATTCTCTACGCATTGAATTCCCTACGCGTTGAATTTCCCACGCATTGAATTCCCTACACTTTGAATTTCCCACGCGTGGAATTCTCTACGCATTGAATTCCCTACGCGCTCAATTCCCACGCATTAAATTCCTACGCACTGTATTCCCACGCGTCGAATTATTATATGTCAAATCTCTACGCTCTAAATTCCTACGCATCAAAACCCACCTCGCCAAATCCCTCCTCGTCAATTCCCCACGCCAAATATCACCATACATTAAACCGTCCACAATGTCCCAAAAATCCACAGCAATAACTGTCTCAATCTCAGCAAACGAACTAAAATTACGTCAAATTGTGCTTAATCTAGAATTCCAAATATACGTACGATTGTCAACTCCTGAATGTTTACACGACGACTGTGACCCAGACTTTTTCATTTGTCCTCGTAAAATGCTAGCCACGTCCTTCCGCGATATGGCTGATGTGTCGTCCTTCACAATTGCACTTGGCGCGCACTGTCCAGACGCGGTTGCATGATTGATTGTTGAGAAGATTATTTATCCTGGTACCTATGTTTTATTGTTATCGTTTACCGGAGACAGTATGAACTTCATATGACTAATCTGATGTGTTTCTATGATTGTCTGATGTGACATATGTTACTTCTGCGTATCTGGGGATGACAGTTCTGTCGCAGTCGATTTATTGATTTGGGACGAAAATGTACAAAAAGGTAGATTATACTATTTAAATTAGAGATTATGCTATTGATGTTAATAGTTGGTATTAGGTTTTGTAGATCAGTTTCATCTGGGAAATGGAGAAGAAATTTTTAACATCTCCGAATTGCAACGTTGCTTCGAAATTGATTTGAAATGAATATTGCAGGTCTATTCATATTCTATGAGACTAATATATTTTTCTAATAACGAGCCCGACGCACTTATCTCGATGTTCGATCGTTCGAAATAAATGACGCGTGCTCAATCACATACGTGCATCATCGTAAAAAATGTTCGATCGGGATGCTACTCATGCATATTATATCACGATGAAATATTTAAAAGCAGCGTGTATGAACGTTCATCGTAAGTTCGAACGGAACAGCGTTCGATTTCAACTATAAACTAGTTTGTACCTTCAAAATGTTAATAAATCATCTTGCAACTGTGATCGATCGGACGAAACAACAATTTTATATAACATTGATCGATCGTTGAACGAAAACACAAGAGAGAAAACACGGTTCTACCAAAGGTTTCAACCGTTTGCATGTCAAATAATTGATTTCCCGATTCCTCATAATTCATCCCGAACAAAAAATTGTACTACCTTTGTAAAATTTATAATCAACATTTTTCTAGATTGAAGAGAACGAAGAATTTTAAGAGTCCCGTGACATTAAATTGCGATGCATTGTGGTGTCATAATGACATTCCTCCACTATTATAGCATTCTTTTCTCTTCCACGCGTGATTTGCAACCTTGATTTACAACTCGCCGCGAATCCACCCTTTTTTGACCACGGAAATCGTGTTTCTTCCGCGAAAGATTATCGCGATAATTTAATTACGAGAAGTTAAATGGCTCGGGGATGCAATTACGTCCTGCCACGTTGCACCGTTGAATTTTAGTAGCATTACATTTCACAGGGAGGCTTTGCAGGCTGTTGTTTCACCTCGTTTATCGTTTCTGTTGCAGTCGCATGGATTTCAATTACGGTACTCGTCATTTTGCCGCAAACGAAATTGCAGAAGTTCAAAGTGATTGAAATTTTGAATATTGAGCTTCTTGAATGTCGCACTTGATTGTCGATTTAACGGGCACTAATTGATCGCTTAGGGATGATATATGTATATGGGGTTACAAGCTTTGATAATTTAGTGCGTGGTAGTTGAGCGTGTGACAAATTAACTTGTGGAGATTCAACTCTTAGGAATTTGGCGCGTAGGAATTTGACGCGTGGGAATTCAGTGTGAAGAAATTCGTCGCGTGGGAATTCAATGCGTGAAAATTTCTACGCGAAGGAATTCAGCGCATGGGAATTTAACGCGTGGGAATTCAGCGCGTGGGAATTTAACGCGTGTAAATTCGGCGCGTAGAATTTCGACGCATGGGAATTCGATGCGTAGGGAATTCAGCGCGTAGAAAATTTAACGCGTGGGAAATTCTACGCGAAGGAACTTAGCGCGTGGGAATTTAACGCGTAGGGATTCAACGCGTGGGAATTTAACGCGTGGGAATTCAGCGCGTGGGAATTTAATGCGTGTGAATTCGACGTGTAGAATTTCGACGCACGGGAATTCGACGCGTAGAGAATTCAGCGCGTAGAAAATTCAACGCGTGAAAAATTCTACGCGTGGGAAATTCTACGCGAAGGAACTTGGCGCATGGGAATTTAACGCGTAGGGATTCAGCGCGTGGGAATTTAATGCGTGTGAATTCGACGCGTAGAATTTCGACGCACGGGAATTCGACGCGTAGGGAATTCAGCGCGTAGAAAATTCAACGCGTGGGAAATTCTACGCGAAGGAATTCAGCGCATGGGAATTTAACCCGTCGGGATTCAGCGCATGGGAATTTAACGCGTAGGGATTCAGCGCATGGGAATTTAACCCGTAAGAATTCTACGCGTAGAGATTTGTAATACAAAAACCAGATCAATCAAATACAAAGAAAAGAGAGAATCATAAAAGGCATAATATGTGCTAAAAATAAATAAAGAATACGTACTTCAATGCTTTATAAATCGAGAAAAGAATTCTCACACATAAATTTCCGAGGCGAAGAATGCATTATCCAAAGCGCAATGCACACGTGTGGCTGTCAACTACCATTTAGAAACGCGATTCAATAATTTTTCTTCAGACCTGAGAATATCTCGAGTAGATTCTAAGTGCATTTCTTGAATGAATCACGCTCGATTAAACGTTCCCGGGTGGTAATAATTTTATCGCAACGATATGTCGAGGACAGACACGCGTCTAAACTAAACGTTTTCATCGTTTCATGTCAGCGGGATGTGGTGCTGTTACTTGATCTGTTTTATTATTTCGTCGGTATTTAACGCGCAGGAATTCAGCGCGTAGGAATTTAATGCGTGGGAATTCGACTCACAGGAATTTGACGCGTAGGAGTTCTACGAGTAGAAATTCGGCGCGTGGGAGTCTAATGCGTGGAAATTTGGCGCTCAGGAATTTAACGCGCATGGAATCAGCGCGCAGGAATTTAACGCGTAGGAATTCAGCTCATAGGAATTCGGTAGAAATTTTACTACTATTTTATTGAACCTTGAATTGTAGATTTTACAGTTACTGAAATTATATAAAAACATCTGAGATGAATTTTATAATTTTAAATTTCATTTAGCATTTTTTAAAGAATTTTTTTTTAACAAAAAGTAAGTACTACACCCCTATACCAAAATTTAAAAAATCAAGCTACCAAAGTTCTCTTATCCCAATAAAATCCCAGACTTTTCCAAACGCATCTCGACTTTCTCCCTTAATAATGATTGACACATCGTAAATCCACGAGCTCTAATCCTAAGTGTACGCGTTACAGCTTCAAAGGTAAATCTTCTTAATTGACGGCATTAATTGGGGAATACGGTGCGTGGGTTAAATCTGTCAAAACGTGAGAGAGGCTACCGTCGAATTTATAGTTCGATATTATACCGAAGCATTATAAATTAATAGCAGTAACAAAACTATTTGCGCGAGTGATTAACGGCGCGATTCGTAATGCGGAGATAACGATAATTTCAAAACGGAATCGAATGCTGTGGCTATTTAAAATAACTGCTACGATTACTGTACGAATGAATTGCGATCGCGGTGTCTCTGTTCCTTTCCTGCAATCGATAAATATCGCTGTGAAAACGATCGCTACAGAGGATGCATAATTGGTTGTAATTGGAAAATGGATGGTACCTGAGGAAATTTATCGAGTCAATTGGGGACGATTCGAAATACTGCTTCCATTTGACAAATTTTTTTATCGAGGTATACAAAATATACATATATATGTAAATTTAATGACAAGCACAATTTATTTTGCTGCTTTCAAAAAGGGCGACAAAAAGTGTCGACATATTCAATAAATAAAGTGATACACAATTTGGAAATTTTTTAATTTTTAGTATTTTTTGCTGAAGTAAATTTGCTACACTTGTGAAGTTCATTAAATCAATCATTTATTAAGTCAATGATATGTGACGTTAATACATGTGTTCATATGTGATAATGTATTGAGTATTCACGCACATATGTGT